GTAGTGTCTTTATGGAGAAGAACCGCAGTGTTTTTGTCCTGTTGACATCATTTCATTAATTTGTCTCTATTACATTCCTAGCTATAAGATTAGTAAAGCAAATACATATAAGAAGAATAAGTACTTCAGTATTCAAATAGCTACAGTTTTGGTAGATTTATGTGCAGTTTCATCATATAAAGAACAAAATTCTCAATAGCGCTAACGCAATTAAGACTGGCCCATATAAAGACCTTCCAATTACCAACGTATCAAATTGCGAGAACAATGCAGACATATCTAGAACCCAGGGCACCAATGGGTACACAATTGTGTGGCCCAGAACAGCAACGTACCGTGGGATCGACTTTTTGTCCGCGAAAACGAAATTAATGATACTCCATTCGCTTGCAAGCAATAGTCCCTGCCTAGTAGAGCCTTCAAGGGGTGCAAAACATATGATTCTAATCAACTTAAGTAATAGTGTCCATTTATATATGTACAATCGTTCACAAACATATATTAGCAATTTCTAATCTTAAAAGTTACTAGAAGAAAATAAGCTATAAACTGGCAATATCAGTGTGTGCAACAACAATTAACTATGTGGTAAATCTTAAAAGAAGAGATTGAAAAGCAAGTCGCAATCGCGTAATAAAATCCACTTAAGTATCCCACTTGAATTTGTTTTAATTACATGTATTGCGTTTGGCTTGTCGAAATAAGACCAAAGTCCCTTAAAAATAAAATAAAGTTTCCACATACGCTAAGGTTCGTATTACAGAACGAAGATCAAACTTGATACAGTTTCAAGCTTTCAAGTGTAAATTGATTATTTCTATTTCAATATTTAGATCGATAACAGAAGAACAGAATCTTATTAAAACTGAGATTGAAATTTGAAGTTATTCTGTAATACTACTTAAGAATTCCTAAATATTTCCAAAATATTTAAAGTCGGAGTTCAATAATTAACTTTATACTCGTAATTTCACTAATACATTAGGTATTTCTAATATTGGGTATGTTAGTATTAGACAAATTCTTCATTCTTTGACACCGTTGCGCTTTAAGGCTAAATTAACAAGATCCTAATAATATCGTACAATTAATCGGCTACAGCGTAAAACAGCTGTCCTGTATACAATGGAAAATTAACGTGTCGAAGGTTTACTGCCACATAAAACAAATGTTGCAGTGTTAATTGAGAATGCTGTTTTAATGCTCTGAAGATTTCAACGCCATTTGATGTGATTTGACTGTGATTGATTTTGCTTATGTAATGGCATGAAAATTAAATAAGTAGAATACAACAATTAATAATATAAATTGTTATAATGAGAACAATCTGCATTATTGCTTGCTTTGTAGAGATAGATAATTTCCCTTCTATCAAAATATTCTAATTTATATTACGTATCGTTAGTTTGATTGCCAAAATGGACCCATATAACATTATTCTATTATAGTTTTAAAATTATAATTAAGAAGAATAAAGAGAATTAAGGGCTAACTAGAGTTTGAAAGAGTTCTTCTTTCGTTTCGTACGTGTTACAACATTAGGTAATTCCCTCTTGTTTACATTTTAATCATAATTATGTAGACGTCTTTCAGTGTCTGAAATAATTCTTGTAGTTAGAAGAGAACAAACGACATCCTGAACCAAATGCATAAGTTAAGCACATTACATGACTTACCTTCAACGACCTTGTTTTTTACACATTCTTGGTATTTTCGACAATGACATTATGTTAATTTCTTTCAGGTCTAGTTTTGAAATTGGCTAAGAACATTTTTGACTTTGACACGTGGCCTCAGTCAGCATGTCAAACCCTACATCTTTTAATATTAATCGTTAAAATTAGATACTTAGCCACTAAGTAAACAAATAAAATTCAAGAAAATAACAACAACTGCGTAGATAGCTATTATTTTAGCTTTGAATAATAAGTAAAAAGATACCGATTATGTCAATTTTTTAATGTTATCCATAATAAATTACATCGATACGCAAATCCGGCATTAGAAGAGTTCGTAAACGAGCTATTTCCATATTTATAAATGTCATTTAATATATCGTTTCGATCTATATTTAGGAGGTTAATCTGCCATATATTACAAGAGGTTAAACGTTTATGATTTAACTAGCGGCCGCCCGCGACTTCGTACGCGTGGATCCCGTTTTACCCCCTTCATCTATCTTAAGCGGTTTAGATTTTTCATACAAATGTTTTTTCCCGCTAACTCCCGTTCCCGTGGGAATTTTGCAATATCCTGTTGTAACTAAGCTTCAAGTTTACTAAGGTATCTGCATGCCAAATTTCAAGCGTCTAACTTAAGCGGTTTAGATTTTTCATACAAATGTTTTTTCCCGCTAACTCCCGTTCCCGTGGGAATTTTGCAATATCCTGTTGTAACTAAGCTTCAAGTTTACTAAGGTATCTGCATGCCAAATTTCAAGCGTCTAACTTAAGCGGTTTAGATTTTTCATACAAATGTTTTTCCCGCTAATTCCCATTCCCGTGGGAATTCCTAGGTATCCTATAACCTGCCCAGGAGTATGAAGAATAATTGTACCAAGTTTCGTTAAAATCCGTCGAGTAGTTTTTGTTTCTATAAGGAACATACAGACAGACAGACAGACAGACAGACANTCAAAAGGAAACAACTAATTCATCATCATCATCATCATTTCAGCCACAGGACGTCCACTGCTGAACATAGGCCTCCCCCAATGACTTCCACATCGCACGGTTGGTAGCGGCCTGTATCCAGCGCCTTCCCGAAACCTTTATCAGGTCGTCGGTCCACCTTGTGGGTGGACGTCCCACGCTGCGTTTTCCGGTACGTGGCCTCCATTCCAGAACCTTGCTTAATGCATAACAACTAATTATTTAACCCTTATAGGATTACTCTGTTATTCGTCCGTCTGTCTGTCAAGACCCTTTTTTTCATATGTAATAGATAACAGCACTTAACATAAAAAATATGGTCTCCATGTCGACTTTCAGTAGCAACAACAGGGTCAACAACAACAAAAGCATGAAATAAATTAATTTTCACTAAAAATTAAAACCAACTCCAAAACAAATTACCAAACCGTAGGCTGCCAGTGCAAGGTCAAATTTATACCATGATTGATATTTTCGGAGTCGGTGGCACTCCAAAAATATCAATCATGGTATAAATTTGACCTAGTAAATAAATAACGGAATATATTTTCTACTTTTACTTATCTACATAGTGCAGTTTGTTTTGGAGTCGATTTTTTTACACTAATAGATTCTATTTTGGTAGATAATAGCGTCCAAGCATGTCTTAATTCAATCGTATCGTCTGACTGAACGTACTCTATGAACAACTCTGACATAAAATATATTGTCAAACAAAGGCTGGGTTGCANAATGTACAGAATTGACCTCTCTACAGATTTATTATAAGTATAGATCATAGTTATTTATCATATTAATCAATTTATCTGAACCAAAATGTTGTGCAAACTTCGTTAAGCTTATGAACTTATAGATTATAAACTTATGGATTATGAACTATGAAGTAACCATGTTACTTATTTTATTGAAGTTATTAACATTTTATCCATCAACTGGGTTTTGCAATAAGCAAATCTTCCGTTTACTATTTTATATGATCTTAACGATCCAGTATGTAAATTGATTGATTTGTTCAAATATGATATTTCCACGAAAAACAGTCTTAGGAATTTTTCCTCTTACGATAAGAATATTAATTAGCTTTAATGATAAAAATTTAAAACGAATGTTTTAAGTAGGTGTAGGTATGTTTAACGTTTGTTTTGTCATAGTATTGTTTGGCGTTGAAATAACTTACTACATGTGTTCACTTAAACTTTCAGGCGACCGGTGTCAGCGGCCTTCGAAACAAAAAAATTGAGAAACACGATGTTGTTATAAATTCTGAATAATGATTTGGAACTAAGATCGTCAGCTGCGTGGTATCCGATATCGATCGAAACTTGTGATTAAAGTGAGGTTAATAATGTGGCGCCTATCACTCGGTGAAGCGATGCCTTCGGGCTTCGGCAGAAGCTATTAAGGCGATTAGAGTCCTCAATGACCTTGAGCGTTTGACCTTCACGCTCCGCACAACACCCGCGCACCCCGCACGAAAACTCCGATTTGACACCGATCAAAAATACACGGGCATAGGTAGGTACAGAATAGAAGCTCTTTCTTCATACATTACTGCCTATTATTTTAAACTTGAATTGATGAACCTTGATGTCGATGTAATTCAACCCAGGCGCAAGTGATCGCCCGAAATGTTCTAAACTAGCGCACCGTCACCGTATAGTAAGGTATTAAATATTTAACAAAAATTACAAATCCATGAACATTTTGTATGGGATAATATTTTTTATTTTATTTTATTTAGCTTATAATGTATGTTGTGTGTAAACTATGTTTGTTCGGGTGGAATTTTGCAAGCTGAATTAGTTAGACCCATTTCCTGACGACAACCGATTGAGTTAAAATTNTCTGTCCAGCAGTATAAGAGGAGTAGGCTTTACAAAATGACCATTTCACGCGGATTGAGGACACTAATCGCCTTAAGTGTCGAAACCGCCCCATAGAAAAGGGCTCTCAGTCATAATCTCAGCATCAACATGTCGCAAGCCGTCTTGACACACATACGCTCGTCGTAATCCACTACCGACACTTGTGCGTAAATATTGGAAGGACACACATGCACTGACACTTTATAATTTTTGTGTCAGACTCCACGAGAGCGATTTGCTCAATGGGCCGGTTGCCGCAACGTCTGTCAACTTGACAGGTGGCGCCCCTAATTAGATTTCGAATTTTAAAAGCTATTGTTTAACTCTTTTCCAAATTAACTTTGCGCAATGAGATGATTAGAGATTATGTTGTTCTGAATTATTATTTTTAATTGTAAAATAATTAATTGTTTTCTTAATTGATCTCATTAAAGGTTGTGTCCCAAATCATCCCTTTGCATCCCTATTGTTGTAGTTCACTTACCTTTATTTGTTGAATGAAATAAATATGACGGCGGGAAAAATCACACAAGCACTGTTGTAATAGCGCGCAGCAGGTTTGGCCGTTGTCTTATATAGCCACCGGAGCGGGGATGAGCGCGCGCGCATGGGGGGATCGTACGCGGCAGACACGTATCATGACTTTACTGACCAGCTACAGGTGACCTCTGGGTAGATCTTAATTTTCCACCCCACGCTACCTGCTTCAGCACGAGGCGAGCTTTCCCGCAATTCGAGCAAAAAAATTCCACGCATTGTAAATTATTAGATACTTAACAGTGCGTTTATGTCTTATAGTTTTTACGCGCATTGTTCTTAAGATCAGTAAGAGCTCGTTTAAGTTTTGTTTTGTTTACGGGCCCTGATGCAATTTACACTATTGTTTTGGAAGATCACAACGACGCATCAAATTGATTGAGCCTTGTTTATTTATTACTTCCGATTGAAGTACGGAAAATAATTTGCTTAATATCTGAGAACTCACGTTTTTTCAACAAATGTTTTATTTTGGTTTGGGTATGAGCGGTCATTGACATCTAGCAACTGTGTAAGCCTATCTTTCATCTGGAAACATGCAGCAATTTTGGAGTTGAATTTTTTTGGTCATTTTTCTTTAATGCTTAAATACTCTTCTACGTTTTAATACTGTATTATGTAGCTAAATAGGTACATTGTTTTTCTTTGAGTCGCCAAGCCACATCTTTAATAACTTAGTTCGCGATATTATAATGCTATGATTACGGATAAATGTCGATAGATCTTGAGGGTTTCGTTTCTGAAAACTTTTAGGAGCCCCTGAAACTTCAGCGGGTTAGGTAGGTATAAAGCTGAGGCAGCTTCTTCATCACCTACGATATCTCGATATCATGTGAGTAATAATCTGATTACGTTGAAACATAAAGGGCTAAGATATTTTTTAAAAAGTTTTAAAATTTGCCAGTTTTAATATTTTTCCCCTGGGACCTAAAACTCTTTTGACTACATTCTCATTTCTTTGACTCATCATAATATGTATGTGATGTTTAATATAAGATAGTACAATCTTAACCGTCTCTACATTATGATATAATGCAAAGTACACTCATTTATCTCATTAACACCACAAAAAGTCATCAACACATATTAGAATTGCAAAGCATTTGTAGATCCGTCATCGGAACAACCTTTGACTTGGTTTTAGTAGGAATTGGTGATCTTAATGATGACAGGCTGTTATTCATACTTAGCGTTTTTGTCTTCATCAACAGTGTGCCTACCATGAGTTTACGTTAGGTGAGCTCGCTAGCGAATACGTCAAAAAATTATATGAAGATTTTATTTCTTGAAAGTAGCCGCTAGGGGCGCTGCACAATATGTCATACATTTAAATGTCATTTTTTTACGCAGTCGCTAGCGAGCACACGTAACGTAAACTCATGGTAGGCACACAGGATATTGTTTTATTGTAATGACACGTCCGCCAGATTAACAGAGATTCGTGGAACGAGTAAGAGATTTAAAGGATGACCCAAATACTTTATCAGATTTGTTTGGATGTAATTGCTCTTTTCATTTCAGTAGAAATTCGAAATTATTCGTGAAATAAATTGGATTGAATTCACATTTCAAAACTGTGGATTTAGGATATCACATAATAATATTAATAATAAGAATTAAGTAAGTAAATAACTCATTTTTTTGCAGTGTGGTTTTTGAAGTTGACGAAATAGAAGCAGCTAGATCTACTTACTCGGTTTTATAAATTACCACGGGCATTTGACAATCTACATTTTATGTTTGCGAGAGCTTGCCCTGGTAATCGAACCTTCGGGCCGGAGTCTTTCTGTAACCACTCGTCGTCCGTGACTGAAATATAACGCCTTTCCCCGCGATATAAAAAAGGTTACTTATAAATCACAAACGCTTTGTTCAGTTATTTTATTTGAGACCAGGAACTTTAAAACGTGATGCCAATTCTCAGTAATCCATGTAGATGTAAAGACAACGGCATGTTAAGCTAAATGTTAGGCTCTTATGTAGTTGTACCAGAGGTCAAAATGTAGTCAGATTTTTGTCGACTGTACATTTTCATACCGAGGAAGAGATTGTGCTTTAAGTTCAGGGAGATCAGCCACGATGTACATTTTATTTTGGGATATTCATTATCCGTTTTCATCGCGTTGATACCGTAACATAAAACGTAAAGTTAATGGATCAACGCATTCATGTACACAATCAGATGTTTCTGATAATATGTAATTGCACACTTATTTATACTGTGGTATTTAACGCTGTCGTTAAAATTAATTAAAAACATGAAATCAAAGCGGTAAACTATATCACTATCATCACGACTCTACATACCTAACTTCGTTAATTACTTTGCTAATTAACATCAAGAGCCATAACTTTATCAAAACTTAAAAGAGCCTTCGTGTAATATTGGATCATCAACATCAATAACTAATTAACTAATTTCATGCTAAAGATAAACGAATTACACGCATGATTATTGGACGGACCAATTATTATAACTTACGTGAGTGAACGGCAAAGGACGAGTTGGTCTAAATTAAAATGAACTCGAAAATCTGCGTAAAGATTCGCCGACAATGTCGACGTTAAAAGGAAGTAGTATTGCGAAAACTTTAGGCATCTAAGGGTGGATTCGACTAAACAAGAGTAAATATTAATCTCAGAATAAATCGTCAGTTTTGACATATTTCCCATACTAAAACTGTCAATGTGCCAGTTATACCAGCCCCCCTAGACAAAACGCACTTTTTGATCGAATCGAAAATCGAATCCGTCAAAACTCCATACAAAAAAGGGGCTTTTCGACCACTTTTCGACTGTTTTGCGATTATAATTTGCACTTTGTCTAGACCCACAGGCCTGTTCATCTCCGCGAGTTCACATCGAAAACAAAACACTAGAGATGAAACGGATAGTTGTTTGGCCGGATACCGGATACCGGATATCCGGCGAGCTGCTAGGCCGGATAGCCGGATATCCGGCGGCCGGATAGTTGTCCCATTGTCATATTGCATGTCGTAACGAGTTTAGCGCCGCACAGGTGCTTCGAACGCGATCAGTGATTCTAGTAGACTAGACAAGTCGCACCTTTCGAAAATCGAATTCGTTCGAATAGAATGTCAGATTTTGCCACTCGCCTAAGGTGCAGATCAGAGCCCCGATTACGGTAACTTTTAACGTCTACAATCCAGACGCGTTTCTGATTCTGCAATACGATTGGTCAAAACAGCTGACGTACGCTGTTGAACGACCAATCGTATCGCAGAATCGAGAAGCGTGTCTGGATTGTTGACGTTAAAAATTACCGTAATCGGGGCTCAGTTCGGGCGATTTTGGTTGCCATCGTGAGTGTGATTGAATAGCGAAAATTTAATTAGTTTACTTGCTGTGTAATCTGACTGAACTGCATTTTACAGAGTGACTTTGAAATCGTTGGCATTCTTTTTAAAATAAGACTCTACTCATGATTCCCCAAATATGAGTCATATCAAATGAATTAAAATTTCAATATTTGAAATCTTGTACAACCCACCACCACCCATGGCCATGCCAACCTTGCGGTTATAACTGGCCGAATCGCGGGAGATGCGCGCGGAACTGCGTCTGCCGCAGCAGGTTGCACTCTGCCGCGCGCAACGCTTGACTACCTACAAATAGGCTAGTTGCCTAAAAAATTTTTTTTAGTCCGTAATGTTTAATATCAAAAAATATTGGACACATATATTTTTATTTGTCAATCTTACAAATAATTACATAGTTATGGTGCGTTGAAGTTGCGCACGACGTCACAACGTGCGGCATTTTTAAGCAAGCGTTGACGTCACGGGCCTCTTCTTATGAACTTTGGGGCGCTTTATCTCNATGACCAGTTCATCATAATGAGATGATGACTATCTAATGCTAACATTTGAATAACTTTAGAAACTATACTTATCTATAAAATTAAAAGAATTATCCTCCAACTCCTAAACATTAAAGAGTTTTACCTTCTATCATCAGCACATCAATATGATATGATGATTTCCAGGAACAAATACTTGGATAACTTAAGAAAACGTTTGAAAAACGATATACGTCCCTATAAAATTTGGGAGTTGCCCTCGATTTCCCTAGGATCCCATCATCAGATCCTTACTTGGTGACAATGGGACCACCTCAGAAGTGTACCCTATCAAACAAAAAAAGAATTTTGAAAATCGGTCCACAATTGACGGAGTAATCGGTGAACATACATAGAAAAAAAAAACATACATACAGTCGAACATATAACCTCCTCCTTTTTTGAAGTCGGTTAAAAATAGGAGTTTGACGGTTAATATGAACAATACGGATAAGTTAAGTGCAGATAATCATTGCGCGTTCCTGACATTGATCACGGCATCATCTGCCGATGTTGGCGGATCTCCGGCTCAGTAAATACTTAATCCCATGCTATTAACGTAAAATTGTACAAATCTATATGAGAACGTGTGTTATTTTACTTAATATGTAGATGTTATTTTACGTATTCCGTAATAATCTATACTAATATTATAAATGCGAAAGTAACTCTGTCTGTCTTGCTTTCACGACTAAACCACAGAACCGATTTTGATGAAATTTGGCATAGAGTTAGTTTGAGTGCCGGGAAAGGACATAGGATAGTTTTTCCCAGTTTTCAAATTCCAACGCGGGCGAAGCCGAGGGTATAATATAAGACCTTATGTACAACATGGAATGCAATAAAGACATTGACTATTGTGTTCCGGAATGTGGTTTGTAAGATACGATTACAAAGTTGAGCATTAAACGAATAAATGAAATTAAAGCAAATCATGATACTGAGTGTCTGCAGCACCGGTATAAATGGATTACAAGACCTTTTCTTCTCAATTTACAGGAATGGGATCTAATTTCAGTCTGATATTCTTTTATACTGACTCTAAGGGTGGGTTGCTCACCTAATTTTATCGGTAACTGTGACGATAGCCGGTGTTTATTGTATGGAGTTTGACAGATTTTTGACGTTTGTTACAGTTAAAGTAAGAGTGGTAATGAATAAAAGCTTGGACTTACAAAAAAAAATGTTAAACAAA